TTTTGGCTGTTCTTTCCCTCAGGTCAGTCTTCTGCAGAGTTACTTCCTGCCTGCAGTGGGGTGTGTTTGGATCTTGTCCAGTGTGTGGTGAGTTTTAAATTGGTGTGCTCTGGTCTGCTTGTTAAAAGAGGCCAGATCCTCTTTCCACTAGAGCCGAAGCTCTGCAGCACTTTATGGTCGGTAGACTTGGTGCATGCAGGGATTTGTGCTGGTCTTCTGGGAGAGGGGCCCACTGCTCTGGTTCTCAGGCACACTTAACCCTAGTAAAGAGGCACCTGCAGAGCACAGGGGGGCAGGTGTTGATGTAAGTGGTTCAGGCCTCCACTGTTGGTGTTGTTATGCTCTCTAAAGTCAGTGCCTGCTGATGGGCAGGGGCGAAAAATGGCTCATCTTGCACGGGGCATTCCTGCCCACCGCTGTCCAGGAAGCCCTCACAGAAGAGTGAACAATCTCCCCTCATGTGTCCTAGGCTTCCCTCAGATCCCTGGCTTCACCCTGTTGGTATCCATGCTGCCCTTCCTCCCAGCAATGCAGTGCACCTGTGTTTTATCTAAGACATGTTGGCTGAGTTTCAAAACTCCAAACTTAAGGGACCTGGTGTAGCACAGACCTGCTGCTGGTCCTCTGGGGAAGGGTCTCACTGTGCTGGGGCTGGTGCCAGTTTGTCTCAGACGGGCAGTCACACTAACACACAGGAGACTGGAGTTTAGTGTAAAGCACAGCAAAAACCCAGACTCCAGGTTAGCTCCCCTCAGCAGGTGTCTCTGCCCCTATGCTAAGGAATGGGAGCACAATGACATCCACCGGCTCTTTTTTCCCCTGAGAGGTCATGCTACCTTTCCCAGATGCACACCAAGAAGGGGAAACTGTCGCTTCCAGTGCATCCCAGGGGATCCTCCAATCATGCCATGTGCTCCCGGGCTCCTGTCCTCCTTCTCCACAGGAGCACTGCTGTGCCCACCAGACTCTACACCGACCACAGCGCAGACTTGTAAAACTCTAGTTTTTGAGCTCCACTGGCTGTAAAAGCTCACGACAATCAACCCTTCTTGTTTTCCCAGTCACTGGTTTTGGGGAAGTGCTTTTCTTGTGCAGTCCACTGTGCGCTGCTCTCTGTCTCCCTCTGTTTTTCTGTACGCTCTCTGTGATCAGGGCTCCCTCCCCTCTGCAGCACCTGTGATCCTTCTCTCCCCAAATCACATCTCCACACCTCCTACCTTCCACGTTGTGGTCTCCTCTCTCCCTCTAGTTGTGCAGTTTGTTCTCTCAGTCCTCATATCAATTTCCTGGGTGTTCAGAATGATTTCCTATTTATCTAGCTGTGTTCAAGGGACAAGGCAAACATAAGGTCCTACTACTCCACCATCTTAACCTGATCATATTTTCAGTAGTTGAAAGGGGCTTCTTAGTTAGCTATCATTTATAATCAAGATTAGAATGTTTCAAAACTACTTCAGTGCTTTATGGATACACATTAAAGAATATGGAAAGATATGTATATATATGTGTGTGTGTGTGTGTGTATACATATACATACATATTGTGTATATAGTAGGTACCTCAAGGTGATAGAATTAGGGAGTGAGTGGAAAGGACTTTTGTTTTTTACCATATATTATTTATACATTTAAAATTTTTGAATCAAGTGTATAGATTTTGCCTAAAAGAAACAAAGACAAAATTTTAGAAAGTACCTACAGGCAATACCATATTATTCAATAAAAAAGCAGGAATGCTGTCTATGGCATATTCTTATTCCTAATGCTAATGAGATTAGGTCTATGATCCTATGTTTATAGCCTATATAAGGTTAAAAAAAATTAGGCTGTCAAAGGTAAAAAAAAAAAATCTTTGCTGCCATGTAATAGACAAAAAGTATATTTCGGGGCGCCTGGGTGGCTCAGTTGGTTAAGCGACTGCCTTCGGCTCAGGTCATGATCCTGGAGTCCCGGGATCGAGCCCCGCATGGGGCTCCCTGCTCCGCGGGGAGCCTACTTCTCCCTCTGACCCTCTTCCCTCTCGTGCTCTCTATCTCTCATTCCCTCTCTCTCTCAAATAAATAAATAAAATCTTTAAAAAAAAAAGTGTATTTCACTTTTTGTTAAAAATAAAATCCATGCAAAAATTACAAAATAGCATATTTGTAATATTGAGAGGGAAATTTTTTACACCAAAGTGTTTATTTCACTGGTCTTAGTGTACTATAATAATTCTTCAATTTTCAATGTTACAAGAAAGGAAACTAAATTACAAATGATTGAGTTTATAGATATGAAAATAATCATATAATTTATTTTGTAAAATGATTCTAATGATTGACATGATCTCTGTGTACTAAGCAAGAAAATAAGAAAATTCAGTAGTTAAATATAGCAACACCTGCTATGAGAATAAAATGCACTTATCTTTAAGAGAAAGTTTTTATTATAGATGTTAGCCTTTCTACTTAAAAGCATCCTTTTGGACCCTGTTAAAGAAACTTCCACTTCAGTAAATATTAAATTTAAAGGATGAATAGATTAGAACTGAACCATCTACATCACTAGGGCATGCACATAAATGTTTAATATTATATACAGTACTAAAATAGCTACTTTGTGAATACTTCATGCATCCCCAGGAAAACATAGAATTCCTAAAAACATTTTAACTTGAATTTCTAAAAAGCCATAACAATTTGGCTTATGACACAAACTATAGTTCATATTAAATATTTTGATAATGTCTGTTCTCATGAGGAATAATCTTGAATAACTGTCATTTATGATATAAAATTTGAGCCAAACTCTGAATTTAATTGACAAAAAATTGCCATAAAAGCTATGAAAATAAAAGGTTTCAGAAATGACAAGATATACTTTATAAAATCATCTTAATTTTATTTGCTTACAAATTAACTTGGCATATCCTCTTTGTTAATGCTCAGTGAGAAACCAAATACTGAGGTTGAAGATGTTTTCATTAATTTAGACTGAGTAGGCATTCTGCAAATTAGAATCATTTTATTTAAAAATTGTTGCCACCTTAGAGGAAACCATGAGAACTACTTGCTAGTTGTCAGTATTTTGGCTAAGCAGGAAAGTGCTTTGCATTCTTTCTGTCAGCTGTTTCTCCCACTGCTTTGCCTCAAAATCCAGGGCAATAACCCATTTTTCACATTTGAAGGTCTTGGTCTCATCGCCACAGAATCATAGTACGTTGTCCTTCAGTTCCCTGGTGATAGGCCACATGCAGCTGAGAAGTCAAGAACTGAGGGCATCAAATAACTGTGGTCTTTTAGATAACATACTCAAAATTAGTTTTTGCGGTAATTGGCACAGTAGGGCCTATTAGTAATTATACATTTCCCCATTGTTTCTTGGAGTAATGTATATTTTAAAACCTTAAATATATTCAGTCTTATAATTAATTTCTATTTCCTTTATTTTCAAGTCATTTTAGATGAATTCAATCAAATGACATTTCATAGGGATACTGTTCGTAACTGATACTATTATAAAACTCTTTGACCTGGTGGGAAGAATGCCCCAATGTCAATAGATTATGAGTATTAGAGTATTCATAATTCTTTACTCTCATTATAAAGAACTTTGCTTACATCATTCCTTACATACAATAATGTATCAATGCCTTTTTTTACTGATGTTGAATAATGTGTGATAATAATAGCACTGAGAATGTGGTACCCATAAAGAACACTTTTAGCTTCCCAGTAAATCTCTAAAAATTAATTAAGATTAATTTAAATAATTTAAATAATTAAAAAATTATTTCAGATTAGGCCTATGATATTAATGCAAATTAATAGATTAAGGAATCAATTCAATGGAAATGAGGATTTCCTTACTTTTAGCACTTGTATTTGTGGAACTATTCTAAAAAATTAGTAAAGCTGTAATCTTAATAAGGGAAGCATGTGCTGTAATAACTACTAGTTTCAATATTCACATGTCGTTTAGCAAATGAGAATGAAAAATGAACTCTTCCATTGATGTGCTGCTCTACCCCTTATAAAGCAATATTAGGAAAAATTGACAGAGTTTTGCTACAATTGCTGTATGTATTTTTTCTAAAAATTTCTGTGTATGTGTATGTTTGTAAACATCATGTTTGATCATAAATTTCTGGGCGGGAAAAGCTTGTGTTATGATCAACTATATGATCATAATGACAATGAATTCATTCCTGTCGTGTGTGAGTCTGCCATGTTTAATTTCATTGAATCTTTGTTTCAGAGTTTGCATGTGGTACTCACTTTGGTAGCCACTGTTTTTTGACAGTATAAATAATACTTTATGATCTTTTCAACTATGTCCTGAAATTTTATACTGAAATGGGTGGTGTTGGATGAAATAATTACTATGGTCTTTGGCATTTTGATTCCAATATGATATCTGACCTTTTTTTGTCTTGATCAAAAGCCTTCTATCTATATCATCCTGGTACATATTCTTAAATCCAAGAGATAATAGAACAAATAAGTTTGGGTTTCCTTTTACACTAATTTCTTTCTTTTTTTTTTTTAATTTTAAGTATCAACAAGCTTTTCTGCCAACTGTCAGATATGATCTTTCAAGTATCAGGCATTGGCAATTTGACACTTGTATTATTTCTACTAGGGTCTTGGTTATCTGAATATAATAATTATTGGTGTACACAAATTTATATTAAACATAAAACAATAAAAATGTGGCCAATACTTTGCAAATATTATAGTTTACAAAAAATACCTTATGCTAATTCTGTCTGAATACTTACTTGTTATAATACTAAAAATAATAAAATTTATTTTTCACAGGATGTGTAGATAGAAAGATCAAGCATAGATGTATTGTAAGGTTACCTGACCTCAATATGTGTTTATACGTTTTTATGGCCATCATACTGTTAATCTTTTTTCATAACACTTTGCATGACTTTGATTATTGAATATGGCTTGAATATAAGATTTGAATGACCCCTAAATGAACTGTCTGGTGGGGTGGTGAATTTCTTTTTAGAGATTGAATCGGTCGAGTTCCTCTGAGTGCAGCACAGTTGATAACCCTCTGCCAGGAGAAGGAGAAGAAGCGGAGGCTGAACCTGTAAATTCAGATGAGCCAGAGGCCTGTTTTACAGATGGTAAGAGAAAAATCAAAATGTTCATTAGCCATCCATTTATTGGTATTTGGGGTTTTATCTTATATCCATGTCTAGAGCGCAGACATCTATTTCTGTGTTATTTGACTCTTAAGTCATTATCTTTAGCCCTGACCTCACACTTGAATTCCAGATATGCCTATAATTCCCCGTTGGTCATCTCCACTGGTTGCCTTAAAACATGTGAAGTATAATAAGTTTAAAACAAACTTTAGTCAGTTCTCCCCTATAAAATCCACATCTTCTTCTGGTCTTTATCTCATTTAGTGACATCATGATCTATCCTGCCTCTCAAGCTAAAGACTTTGAGTCAGCCCTGACCTCTTCCTTTCTAGCCCCACATTGATTACAGAAACCACAAGTTGATCAGAAACTCTGGACAGGGCCTGCATCCTCCCGGGGATTCTGATGCACACTGGAAGCGGGGAACCATTGGTCTATAGGATAAAACCTGAAGTCCTTAACATACCATGTAAAACCCTTTGCACCTCAGTCTATTCTTTTCTAACAGTACCTCCTTTGTTTACTTTTCACTTCCTGACTTACTGAACTTACTACTTCTGGAATGTTTCAGTGATTTTATTCAAAGTAGTAACTTTGAACTTGAACTATGGAAGTGTACAGCATTTTCTAATCGAATATGGTGTCATTCAAGTAAAAACATAAACCTATACTAGAGTTGCAGTATAATATAATAACATAGACCACAAATTTTGAAGGCTGATAAACATGAGTTCTAATTGGTCTACTTCTAACTCTCTGAGACCTTGAGCACATTTTGAAAATCTTGTATCTCAGATACCTCATCTATAAAATAGGTATAACAACCCCATCTGAATTATAGGGATATCAAGGAGATTAAACAAGATAACACAAATTACCACAGTTCTTAACATCCTTCTTTTCCTTTTTTTTATTTTTAAAAATATTTTGTTAACAATTCTATAGAGAAGCTATGATAGCATAGTGTTGATGCTAATGACTTACTATCTATTACTCTCAGCATCAGTATTTTTTGTAGAAATCATTGACTTGCGTTCAACCTCTATAATTTTTCTCAGCCAGCCTCCTCTAGCACTCATGCCATAAGCAAACTGCCTGTCAAATAAAGATACCAAACTACAATGGGTGCATGAATTTTCTTTAAATACAAAGCTAAATTCCATTTTATGTGAGAAACAAACAAGTATAAGACCCAATTGATAGAAATTTTGTGTTTGCTGTAATTAGTACCATGAGCAAAACAGAGTTTCCTATAGAAGTGTTCATATTAAAGGCATTTAAGAATTTCATCAGGTGTTGCCTATTCCTCAATAAATTAACACCATTAAATCTATAAAGATGCTACCAACATTTCCTCTACCCATTTTATGAATGACACTAACTTAAAATTCTAGGATAACTAGAAAGAAGTTGGGTTTATCAAGCAGATTATGACTTCAAATTAGAAAAGGGCTTTAGAAAAACTTAAACCTTCTACAGAAAGCATTAACGCTAAGCTATTTCATTCTGCAAGTGCTATCTTATTGAGCTTAAACTACATAAAAAGTTTATGTTAGTCCTACAAAGCACTAATGCGAATATTTATGTGATTCCTTTGAGGTTATGCGTAACTTCTAAATTGAGTCTAGTGTTTAGAAGATATTATAAAAACACATTTTCAGATGTGTTTGGCCTTGACTGCTGAAAATTTACTGAGGACCAAAATTCATTTTGTATCTTTATAACTAGTGTACTATACTAAATGTATGTTCTACCTCAATAAAAATTTAAATCAGCAAATACATATATATTTTTTTAAAAAAGACAAGAAAATTTATGAGGAAACACACATCTGTGAGTCCTATCACTTTGAGCAGCTGTGCTCCACTGGGAACTTTGTACTCACTGGACCTGCTGGCCGAAGAGGCTCAGCCTGATAAACAGGACAGCCAATTTGCTGAGCCTCTCACCATTTATCCACATAATCATTCTTTTATCCAATTAACAAATAATCATTAAAGATCTTCTGTATTTTAGGCCTAGGCCTGAGTACCAGAGAGAGATAGAGCAATGAAAAAAACACTGCCCCTTGCTCAAACACATATGTAAATATTTAGTAGGTCAGATAAGTGATACATGCTTTGGAGAAGTGAAAAGAAAAGAGGAATATAATAGTTGAAGGGTAGGAACCTACTATCACATAAATAGAGTGGTCAGGAAGGCCTCTCCAAAAAGGAGACCTGAAGAAAATTGAAGTGGGCCATGCAAATGTATGAAGGAAGAGTATTTTAGGCAGCACAATATTTGAGGAAAGTCAAGGGGCCAGTATGGAGATTGAGAATGATGGGAAGCGTGGTAGAAGGTGAGGTCAGAGATGTAGTAAAGGCCAGAACATAAGCGCTTTTAAGGACATTATAAAGACCTCCTGTAAAAGTCTCACAACATGCCATCTTAAGAGTAAATGGGTGGATAGCAAGGACAGATGCTGGGTGAATTCTTGGATGTTCCTGCAGTAATCCAGGTGAAAGGAAGAGATTCTGAGTAGATCTTGAAATGAAAGCTAAAAGAATTTGCTGATAGATTGGATGTTGGTTCCAACGTGAAAATGTGAAAAAAAAGAGTCAACAACGATTCCAAATTTGGGGTCTCAAACTGGGAGATGTCTTCCTCATAATGACTTCAAAATGATTGGGCTTGGCAGGATGGGAAATTGAGAACTCATTCACTTCCATTAGAAATGACTCTTACCAGTTTGTGATAGGTCTATAAGAGCTGAGCTAGAACCAATGCCAGTTTAGAACAGCATTTGGCCTCCAGAGATTTTTGTTACCTGAAAGGCAGCAGAAAAATCATAGGGAGTGTGAGAGTTACATCAGAGGGGTTGTGTTTTCACTGAAGAACAGACACCAAAATGATTTGTTGTTCATTGTCTCACATCCGTTAATCCTTTTCAACTTCATAACTATCACTTTACTAATTTTCATATTTCTCTTGCATCCTTTCCTCCTCCCTCTTATGCCAGGCCTTTCCTTAGTTCTGTTCCATTAGCTTTGTAATTCAAGATACCAGGCTCCTTCTCTAGATCTGCCACTGTTCTTCACTAGCCTTACTTCTGCGTGTCATGACAACTTGACATGACAGAACTCTGATTCTGCTTGGTTTTATATTATACTCCTTTTGGATTATACAATCAGTAAATTACAAAATCAGGATTAGGTTATGAGAAGGATACTCTCTTTTCCATAAAATAATGTATTTTCTGTTAATTTGGTAGAAGGAACCAACTCAGCTTCCCCCCAAAATGTTCTGAATTCAATTTCCTATAAAATAACTAATAACTAATTCTAACTTTAAGAACACAATAACAACTCACTTGTGCCTACTTTTTTTTTAAAGAAAATGTGGACAAAACACTTGTTTTAAAAGATTTAGAAATTTTTAAGAAGTTATAAAAAAACTCATTTTTCCTTATCAATTTTTACGTTAATTATACTGATTATGCTATTAATTTGTATTAATAGGTAGTCTGTCTTGGAAGAGGTTGATGTTGGTTAGTTTTTTTGTGTGGTGGGGGCCGGGAGCACTGGTTTAACATGATGAAACACAGTATAGAGTTTATGAAATGCATCACGAGAACAAATTAATGAAACCACCCAAAAGAAAGAACTTTTACCCATGGGGACCCATTAAAATGCTTGAGAGGTTCTCTGTTATGTTTACATTTAATTAATAGTCCTTTTAAAAAAGAAGATGTGATAACATTGCTAACCAGCTAGGTTCGAAATCTCTTAGGATATGCCTTTGCATAAAAGCCAGACAAGCACTCGAACACTCTTGCCTCAAAATAAGAGTGAGAAACTCTCTGAGATGTGATAAATCCCGAGGGCAATATTTATCAACCTTCATCGCAGATAAAAAGTTTACTTTTCTAATTAGAATGTAGGGTCCCTTTTCTTACCTCAATCTTATGAGTAATATTTCTCTTCAGTTTTAAGACTGACACAAATAAATCTCGGATAGTAAAATCTTAAAGGGAAACTTTCTCCTCTGGTAATTATACTTGAGGCAGATAGATTCTGTTCTGCACAAGATGTTTGTTTTTGTATTGAGATAAATTCTTAAGTCTCAAGCATTAAGTTAATATAAAAAAAATAATTCCATCTTAAATTTTTTTCACTCCTTCTGGTGTTTTCTTTTGCCCCGGAAGAGATAATCTGGGAATCCATTTTGTGGCCTACGTTTTTACTATTTTCCCACATCATTTTATAAAATATTCTAACTTTATTAAATACATTTGAGATGTAAGGTAAATGTTTTAGATACTGTGAAGGTGAATTCATTCAGATCTGAGGTCATGTTAACTATAATTTAACGTTGGTTAAATGAAGGCATATGTATATTTTCTATTCATCCTGGGTTTGTTTGTTTTTTTAATCCAATCTTTTTGTAAATTCTAGAATTTTCAGATCATTACTAATGCTTGGATTATTTTAGAATATTTTTGGGGGAATTACGTCTTTTAAGTCAACTATACATGACCCATTAAACTATATATGTAGAGGACTATAGTAAGTACCGTGAGCAGAAACAAAGGGCATAACTGACGCAGTTTTAGCCCTCTGGGAGCTTAAAAGCTTCCAGAAAGGACAGGAACACATAAAATACACACGATAGCAAAAACACCAGAGACTTTGGTGCAGGGGGAGGCGGTGGGAAACATAACTTGGTACATTCCCATAGTGCTGGAAATTAAAGTGCCAGGTACACCTCATATTACCTGGGTCAATGAACTAATTTCATTTTAGAATCATGAAAGAAACCATAATAAGATACTGCCTAAACAGTATAGTTCAAAAGAATTCTGGTTCTGTGTTTCAAGGCATACACTTTATGATTCTCTGAAGTTATTACTTGATAAACTCAATATTTTTTAATTAAATATATTGTTTTATAAAAAAGGAAATTATTTTTTACAATGCCTACCTTGCAAACCTCTGAAACGAGTATCTAAAAAGTGCTCTCCCCCCTTTTTACCTTCCTTCTAATTGGAAGGAAAAACTTTTTTTTTTCAGTGATTTTTTTTTTTTATTGAAGTGTAGTTGACACAAAATGTTGTATTAGTTTCAGATGTACAACACAGTGATTTGACAAGTCTATATGTTATGCCATGCTCACCACAAGTGTAGCTACCATCTGCCACCATACAATGCTCTTGTGTGTAATATCATTGACTGTATTCCCTATGCTTTGTGACTAATTCATAAGTGGAAGCCTGTACCTCCCACTTCCCTTCACCTGCTTTGCCCATCCCCTCATTCTCCACCATTGGCAACCGTCAGTTTGTTCTCTGTATTTATGTGTCTGTTTCTGCTTTTTCTATGTTTATTTATTCATTTGTTTTGTTTTTTAGATTACACATGTAAGTGAAATCATATGGTATTTGTTTTTCTCTATTTCACTTAGCAGAATGCCGTCTAGATCTATCCATATTGTCACAAATGGCAAGATCTCATTCTTTTTTATGGTAAAGTAAGAACCCATAGTGTATATATATACCATATCTTCTTTATCCAATCATCTATCAATGAACTTGGCTATTGTAAATAATGCTGCAATAAACATAGGTGTGCATGTAACTTTTCAAATTAGTGTTTTCATTTTCTTTGGGTAAGTACCCAGTAGTGGAATTACTGGATCATATGGTATTTATTTTTAATGTTTTGAGGAACCTCCATACTGTTTTCTACAGAGGCTGCACCAGTGTACATTCCCACGAACAGTACACAGTGGTTCTGAAAGGAAAATTTTTAAGAGATCAATTAATTGTAGTTTCTCTTTTTTCAGTTCTTCCTCTTCTTCACAGTAATTGTGGTTAGTTTTTTTTTAAATCAACTTTAATTTTTGAAATTTAATTTTTGAAATTTCAGTCATTATCTTTCTGGGTCTTTCTTGGTCACAGTTCTGTTCACCAGCCCTTTATGAAACTTTTTACTCCCTGACTTTTTTTACTGTAGCTCCTTGTACATCTCTCCTACTTCTACTCTGTCTCCATCCCCTTCAAAGTTTTTCTCTTATTCCACCTGTCCTGGTGGTGTATAGGTGAATGTTTAACCACCAGTTCTCCAAGAAAAAGAGAGTATGCATATGTACATCAGTTTACTATAAATTTTACTGATATAAAGGGTGTGTAGCACATGATTTACAAATAATAAGCAATATTTGTTATTGCACATTCCATATAACTCATTGATTCTCACACAATGCTTTTGTTAAATTTTACCAAAATTTTGCATTTATAGATAATCAGTGATTGCAGATGATGAACATGTATAGTTTTAACCTGAAGGGTGGTTGGTAATTTCATTTCTGTTGATCAGTAAGGTTAAAGTGAGACAAAGAAACTATATGTCAGAACTTCACTCATTCATCAATGATGTCTGCAAATCTCAGATAATAGAATTTGAATAATGAAAGAATACTTCCTCAAAATTTTCTGCTATTCCCAGCGTCATGGCTACAAATATGACACTTTTTTATATATTTTATTAACATTTCCTGCATTACTTGTTAAGTTTACTCTAGAAAATCATCAAGCCTGGTTATAGTTCCTAACTAGAGTTGCCATGACCTATCCCTCTTGTTAAGGCTACTGAACCAGAATCCTAAATGGTTTTCTGGCTCTGAATCTTCCTACACCTCCACCCTCTTTTTTCTTCTCTTCCAACTTATCTTCAACTGTTGGAGACATCAACTTAAGTTGCATCTGCCTATATCATTCTCTGCTAACAATCCTTCACTTACTCCTGAACATCTATAGGATATAGACCAAACTCCTTCATGTGGAGGAAAATGCTTTCCATAATCTGACCAATTTCTCTAACCTCATTTCTCCCCCATGCCTCTGTACACTTTGCTTTCATCACAATTCTGAACTGCTTATAATTCCTATGCACAATACCTCTTGCTCCTTCTTGGCCTAGAATAACACCCATACTCTTTTTGGCTAAGACTTTGACTCAATTCAGGCTCCAGTTCTTCCACAAAGCCTCTTCCAGTCTGTCCTCAGCAAACAAGCCAGGTGAGGTAGACTTTTTCCATGCTCCAAAATAACCCCTTTATATATGTGATTTTAGTTGACATATCCAGTAATAGTCATTTATTTCTATCTCTATCTACCTAACCAAAACCAAAAATAAATCCCCCGAGGAGAGGAAACTATATACACAGCTAAGTATATAAAATATAATAAATGCTTAATGGAGAAATGAATGAATAAACCTAAAATGTAAATAAAATGTTCCTCAATTTATCATAGTAGCATGTTTTTCACCTAGAGTTCCAAAGGTAGAGTTGTTTTTAACATGGAGTACTTGAAACAGTTTTACCTGTTTCAAGGTAAAACTGTTTTACCTGCATCTTCTAATCAAGATCAAATTCCTTTGAACATAATTTTAGAAACTTCTACCAGTTTTCTTAATATTACCTAGAATTGAAACTTTGTGAAGAGCTTTTTTTTTTAATACAGTGGAAGCATCAGGAAACTGTAGGTGAGATCCACATCAAGGAAAATTAATTTATCAGCAAAGAAGGTCTTGAAAAGCATTTTGTCCTCAGATCTTAGTTTAATATTCATTCATTCCGTGTTCATCATGTATCAGCACAGCATTAGGACTGCAATAATGAAAAAAATAAATAGTTTTAACACTTAGGAAGAGATTGATGAGAAATCAAGGAAGCACAGAATGCATTTTAAGTTAGAAATAACTGACAAGCTGCAGTGTAAGTGTTAGAAGTTATTCAGTTGAGGGACATCACAGGGAAAGCTTTGCATAAGTATTTTATTTATTCTGAATATCAATATTTTATATGTATATCTCTCTTGTCAGGTTGTGTGCGGAGGTTCCCATGCTGCCAAGTTGACATGGAGTCAGGGAAAGGAAAAATCTGGTGGAACATCAGGAAAACCTGCTACAGGATAGTTGAACACAGTTGGTTTGAAAGCTTTATTGTTCTCATGATCCTGCTCAGCAGTGGTGCTCTGGTAAGTTATATGACACCTAAAGCAACCACCCGAGTCAGTATTTTTAATAAATGAGTTGGAGGATAAAAATATGAAAGTTGTTTTACCTAAAAGTGAATTCCTATGATTAGTACTAGGACAAAATTTTAGTTTAGTTAAGTAAATATTTAGTAAGCACTACTACATGCCAGACATTATTCTTGCTTCCTTGAATGCAAAGGTGGATAAGATCCAGGTACTTTTCTCAAGGAATTCAGAGAGCATTAGGGAGAGAGGCACAAGGGATTACAGAACTGCAATGTGTTTGTAAGTGAAGAATATACTTGATAAAGCTCTATAGCAAGAGATGAACAATTGTCTGCTTGAAATTTCAGAAAAGTAGTTGATATTTTACAAGATCTAGAAAGATGAATAGGATTTTCCAGCCAGACAGGGTGGGCTGAGGAGCAAGTGTACGGTGATAAGGAAGCATAAAACATCATGCGGTATTCAGGAAATTAAAAGTTTCCAAGTTGTAGAAAGTGACGCTGGAGGAAGAGCAAATACAGGGAGGTGAGTGGTGGCCACAGGTACTGTGACAAAGATAGGCAGTGTCAGCTTATGAAGCATCTTGCAAAACTAACTGTAATTTTAGGGTGAGAATGGGACATGTTTCTCACTCTTGCATATATACCAAGCACTTTCTATGAGAGTTGAAAGGGACCTGGGAGAGTTACAAACTCCCTAAGCCTTCTCTTATTTTTCTTTCCTGCTGACACGAACAGAGATGAACCATTAGAAGCTCAGTTCCAGCTAGAGATACCACTGGAAATTCTTTATACTAAAAACAGAATACTTAAGAACTTTTGTAAATTGTTTCATAGATAGTCTTCATGGATCTGGAATTGGATTTTTATGAGAAGTTAACCTGTTGCTATTTCATGGATGCTGATAGAATAGATGCGACCTCCAAGTCAGAGACAAAGGATTTTATTAGTCATGACATTGGAAGCAACATGAACTTCAACATGTTTGTGTTGATCCCTCTTGTCTCCAAGTCTCATGAGGGCATGGCATGGGGATAAAGGAATGGCCCACACACGTGGATTAGCTTCATAGCTGAAGAGCACTAAATTTAGGGAACCCTGTCCATTTTTTTTTAAAGGAGGGGAGGGGCAGAAAGGGAGAGAGAGAGAATCTTAAGCAGCCTCCACGCCCAGCGTGGAGCCCAATATGGGGCTCCATCTCACAGCTCTGAGATCATAACCTGAGCTGAAATCAAGAGTTGGACACTTAGGCGACTGAGCCACCCAGGCACCCCAGGGAACCCTGTCCTTTTATAGCAAGCAGTAATCAACCTTGCTTTTTTGTCCCAGACAGAGACAATGTCTCATTCCTCAAAGCAACTGGGAGAAATAACCTGAGTAAAGAGCAAGTCAGGGCCTTGCCTTCTTGGCATACCCAACAATGACATGAAGGGATGCTCAGGGCCTACAGTGGATGGCCTCTCCTAAAACAGATGAATAAAAAAAATGGTACTCTTCTTATCAGGTGGAATGTGAGTAGGAATCTCAACAATGTCTACATTATCTTGTATTCCTAGTAACTGTTTTGCTGAGTCACACATGTGACTGAGACTTTTAGAAAGGAGAGTAAAAAAGAAAAATTAAAGAAAAGTTTAGAGCAATCCCTTGTTCAAAATGTTGAAAAAGGAAGATGACATTTTTTGGGAAGAGGTACTCTCAAAACTAAAATTCTGGGGTGCCTGGGTGGCTCAGTCGATTAAGTGTGGGACTCTTGATTTTGGCTCAGGTCAAAATCAAGATCAATAGAGATCTTGTCAAATAGAGATCAAGATTCTTAAGTAGCTGCCTTTGGGAACTACAACAATGGAGGACTTGCTGTCTTGCCTTCAGATGTTAAGCCTCTGCCTGATGTTTCCGCAGCCTCTTCAGATGTGCCTTCCTCCGCAGTCAGCCTTTCTAATTCCTTCTGATAGCTATGCTGGTATTCCAGATACTTTATGTTCCTCTTCTGTTTAACCAAGAACTTTTTTAGGAATTCTAAGAGATCAGTTTCGCTATTCTTAGAAGCCAAGCTCTTCAGCTCTTGCAGGTGCTTGTTCAACTCTTTTTCCATCTCCAGAGCAATCACTATAGCTTGCAGGTCAGTTCCCCAGGGTTGTGAGATCAAGCCCCAAGTTGGGCTCTGCACTCAGCGTGGAGTCTGCTTGAGATTCTTTCTCTCCCTCTCCCTTGGCTCCTCCCCTGCTCAGGCACCTGTGCGCTCACGCTCTCTCAAATAGATAAATAAAATCTTAAAAAAAAAAAAAAAAACCTGAAATTCAGTTGAATCATATGAGGAAGAAAAGGGAAACGTATTTTAAGAAACTGCTCTTTTTACTCAGAGAGTTTGCTAATTAAGCTAGATTTTTAAAATTCCTGTCCATAAAACAAAAAAAGGTAACAGCCGAGTTGGTACATATTTATTATGTTTCAAGATCTTTATATAAGTTTTTTCACTTAATCTTTGAACAATCCTTTGAAAAAAACTATCGTTTTGCTTATTTTACCAATGAGGAAGTTGGGCGGAGAGTTTAAAAAGTTGTTTAATGTCCCAAAGCTAGTAAACGACAGACCCATAACTTAACTGAGCTCTAAAGTCAAAGCCAACCATATCTTTTCACTGATTTCTGGCTTCTCAAAAAGGAGAGTACCCACCATGTAGAAACAAATGAGTGGTGACTGAAATGAGTAACAGTAAAACCTACACCCCACATTGGATAGAGCTCACATAATGATGTCCTTGCCTCCTTGCTTCCACATCCACAAAACTAGTCCTGGAAGTTAGCTAGGAGCCCTGCAGGCTGAATCCTGTTTCCAGCTCTGGGACTAGTCAGAACAAGGTGCACTCAGACAGCGTATTTGGCTCTCAGCATCAAGACTTACTACGGGTCCTGCTCTGCACCCCAGTTCCAGGAACAACCCTCTTGTTCTGTGTGATCAAGCCCCTTCCTTATCTTTGCATTTCAAGTATTGAAGTGTTGCCATAGTGTCTATCTGGGTAGCTTGCCTCACTCCTCAACAACTTGGAGAAGGGAAGCTAGAACATCCCAAGGGCTGGAAGTTCCCCCTTGCATTTCAGTGCCACTGACATTCAGAAACTCTGCCAGCTGCTAGAACCTTCTTTTATCATCTTAGTAAGTCTGCTCATTCTCTGTGTCCCAACTTCTCTGTCATCTTCAATATTGATACCAACAGTTTGCAATAAGTTCCAAGGATCATTTTTAAAGTATTGATATAGGAACTTGGAATAAGAAGAAGAATGGATAAGCCTGTGGCTATGGATAGGTAGTATAATGTTTACCACTAAGGTTACAGCTCCTTTTGCTTTCATGTTCTTCAACGAAGTGAATATTGTTTAATCTTGAAAAAGCAAATCCTAATACTCTAGACCTGTTTAGGTCAGGAATCATTTTCAATGTCTTCGGTGAGCTCAGTTCATTAAGTCCATTCTAATTATTTCCCGAGGGACTAGTGGCTATGACTGCAGAATCATCATCCATCACTTACTAAAAGTTCTAGAAGAGTGTTAAAAGGTGCCACATTCATGAACTGAATGTAACAGTAATTTGTAGAGCTAAAGCTTTCAATGAATGATAAACTATTGTGCAGAATTCAAAGAAAGAAACCATCCTCTGTGTTCCCCAGTCCTTTGACACAGTTCTAGGCACTGGGAATGCACAAGCATATAAGAACTGAAGGAGATCTCCAAATCCTACTGGTGAGAGTGAAGGAGAGTACAGGGTGAGAAAGATATATATGACCTGACGATCTGGGAATCGTGTCTTAAATTATCAGGATTCATCCAATTTGAAGAGAGATAAAGGGAAATCAGATGAAGTAGAAATTGCTGCAGTTATCAGAGATCATGGTTCTTTTAGAGGATTATAAATTAATTTATTCTTAGCACCATTTCTCTTAACCTCTGGCAACCAGTGGCCACATACTGGTAAGAAGTCTAGAACTAAGTGTTACATAGGAGCTGTAAACCAGAAGAAAGTCAGCTAGCCCATAATGGTATATATCTTTCAGTATAAAATTATCCATCAGAATTTTCTTTCTTGCTTTTGTTATGAATCATAAGCTTTAAGGTGGATGTGAATTGAAATTTGAATTCTATTTTCACAGGCTTTTGAAGATATATATATTGAAAAGAAAAAGACCATTAAGATTATCCTGGATTATGCTGACAAGATATTCACTTATGTCTTCATTCTGGAAATGCTTCTAAAATGGGTAGCATATGGTTATAAAACGTATTTCACCAATGCCTGGTGTTGGCTGGATTTCTTAATTGTTGATGTAGGTTGGATTTATTCTTACAAATAAGTGTTCTGAGGAACCTTCACTAATGTTGTTTGTTATCATATTTTAATCTTGGTTAGCTTTTTATACTTTCAGACTATAGTCTTATAGGTACTTTTGAAATATTAATATAGCCAGTAGAAATATATCTGTAAGGAATATTAAAGGAGAAATTCTGCAATGAATGTGAATTCTTTCCTGTACCATTCTAACATTTATAATTTACTTGTGCATATGTTTTCTGCAATCAGAGAAAATGTGACTATATATATATACACACATATACATATATATATATATCACACACACACACACACACACATATATATATATATACACACATGATTTGAATATCATTCCTATTGGGAAGAAGAAAAAATGAAAACTTGGTGGTGGGGGGTGGGAATGGAAAAGGGCAGAGGCACAGATTAAAAAGATAAAATATTGATTTTTTTTACAATATAAAATTAGAAAATAAAAGAGGATAAGGGATATATCAAGTTGTCTCATATGTTAGCTGAAAGTTATGTAAAATGGTAGTGCTAAAGCTAAATAACTCTGGGTTAAGGAGTTGGGGAGGCATGGAATTTCAAAATATTTATCTCTGTCACAATGAGAGGGAAAACCAAAATTAGTCACAACTCTTGTCTCCGCCTGAAACATCCAGCTTACCCTTCATCTCTAGAGTGGCAGTGAAGCAGAAAAATAGGCATTGGCAATTTCAAGTAATAAATTCAGAGAACTATTTAATACTTGGATGATGGAAAATATATAAGAATGCCTCAGCTTATGCATTATTTTTAACAAAGCAAAACAATTTTTTAGGAATCTTGTTGAAATGGGAAAGAAATCCTAAAATAACTGTGAGATTAAGGCATCTCAAATAGAAATGGTGCAACAGCCAATTTTATCAATTTATTCTTATTTAGTGTATTCAATTTTATTTTACGTCAGTGATATAATTTAATAATATATAACATATAATAATTACATTATTATGTTTTATATTATTTTAAAAGGCTTTCTTAAATTAATTCATGACCTCAATTTCCCAATCTAATTTTTCTCAGAATGACTTATTTTTTTCTATCTTCTACTAATTCTCCTAGATTTTCCAAAATCTAGTCTTTGTGGCTAGGGAAGGGACAACTTATAATCAGTTACACTTCTTAGAGACTGGTTTTCCATCTGATGTGGAATTAGAGGGCAACATGCAAATTTTTATAGTGTTAACAAGTGCTCTAACATTTACCAAGAGTTTGCATCATCAAACTTTTCAGAAAAGATAAATATAGCATCATTAATAGATACCAAAATTACAAATAAGCATTATAAATAGCCAAATCTGACTGCAAAATTAAACCAAAACTCATCATATCTACTCAAAAGTTCAATTTCTCAACTGTTATCCAAAGCTCAGTAAACTCTTTTTTAACAGCTCAATATATAAAATATTGCAAACAATAACACTTTTGTTTTCTATATCAGTGATGTACAAAAACTATCTTTTTTGGGGGGTATAGCTCTACGTTACATCTCTTATGTTCTCTTAGGTCTTCTCTGTGAGATCTCTAATTTTTGAGACCTTATATTAGTGATTCCATATTGATTGTTCTTTAATTTACTTTTATATATATGTTTCCTAGTTACTGGCTAGAAAAATAAATGGTAAGATAGATGCTTTTGTAACATAATAGATTTAAAGAAAGGCTAACCTAAATAAGAAGAAATGATAGAAGGAATGTAGGTTATTTCTTCTCTTTTCTCTTAACCATTAAATTTGATTGGGTCTTTTAAAAGTTATTATAAAATATTTAAGATATTCAAAAACCTTTAAAAATATTATCACAAACATAGTTATTTTCATCAGTCTCTGAAATAAAAGTTTATACATAGAATTGATTTATTTTAGGTTAAGAAAGAGATAAAGCCATTTCGTAGCAGAAATTGTTTTGTGTTGTATTTGAAAATCTGAGCTGGTGAATCTTAATACTTAAGAGTATGTAATATACAGAACTCAGGTATATAGCTTCAATTTGAAATGTTATTTGATATTTTGAGAAAAAGTAATATACATGTAAATAAAAATATACATTACATATTATATATAATATTCTATATATAATTTTTTTCTATATATAATATTTTTAAAAGGCAACATGGAGAGTGAAGCTGTACACAATATTCTTGCTGGTAGAGATGCAAATTTAGTGATGCAGATTTGGAGGAGGAACTGAAATTTTGTTTCTCAAAAATTGAACCAATTATCTAGAGGAATTGTTCTCAAAGTTGGTTCTCATTGAACCAATAGCATTGTTGGGAACTTGTTAGTAATCCAGTTCTCAGGACCTACCCAAGATCTACTCAATCAGAATCTCAGGTATTGGGACCCAGAACACTGTTGTTATAAGCCTTCCAGATAATTCTGGTGCATACTGAGGTTTCAGAACCACTGATCTGATTTGATATTCACAGGATGGATTGTTGGATTTCCACAGGGATCTTTAATTGAAATTTATTTGCCTGAGCATTATTCATCAGTATTGGAATATATTGTATACATACATATGTATGCATAGTTAAATAGATGTATGTATATCTTCTCAGTTACAGAGTAATCTCTAGTTTTCTCAATAATATGTATCTATTATATTCAATATCATGACACCTAACAGTGGTTGGAAATTAGGTCTGCCATTTCTGTAGGGGCTATTCCCATTATAATAGACATTTAAAAACTTTTGTTTCCTGATTAAAAGGAATACTTGCTATTCTAATTAAAGAGCATATTTTCTTAAGTGTACTTAATTTAAGAAAATAATGGACCTGAATGACTTGGGTGAATTTCGGAATGATATAAGGGAGGATTAGTTCTGCCGGATATGTAGCATAAAGACTTAAAAAGAAACAATGTTACATTAAGATATTTGGAAGCAACTGCAGGAGAAAGAACACACACTTCAACACATCTTGATTCATAAATCAGTTTACTTGTCTCTGATAGCAGGAGCAGTGAACTTGTGAGCAATGAATTTTTCTACTCTGTCAATAGTTAAATATAAGGAGGTTCACTGTCAGGTTTTCCTAGTCTTCCCTGGAAAATTTTAATCTTTTAGTCAGTACTTAATTCATAATGAAGAGCTGCATTCCGGACACTGTTCTTAGACATTGCTTCCTGCTACTCACAGTGTAAAAACAAATGAATATTTTAAATGGAACTTACTCAGAGACTGAATGCATTTACAGATCCAGATGTAAGGTCATTGAGGAGCTCATTACTCTGATTACCAAAATGTGTATTGATTGTATTTCTGTCCATGTTCTTTCTTCTAAGATAGTTTATGATAAGAACACAAATTTCTGTTGGACACTGGTTATGGTCCTTGTGGCAGGTCTAACACGATAAAGTTCCGTATGTCTGTATTGATTGTAAAGCCAGTGAGATCCCATACTCTTGTGCTCTCTTCCATACAATTGAGATTTTCTCCCACTATTCCTAGGTAAATCTTTGGTACCAGTTCTGAGAAGTTGCAAGGCAGAACAATTTGTGGGGAATTAGCTCCATCTCAAAATCATGAGTCTTCAAAATGCTTTTGAATAAAGTCTATACTAGACTTAGATTTGGTTGAGTAGCTTCAGAATCACACACTTTGTTATGCCCTAGGTTTTATTATAATTGAAATTTTGATAGTTGCTCTTATTAAATGTATAGCATAAGTGTATGACATAAGTTGTTCATAAGAATTAAATGTATAGCATATCTAATTAAATATATCAAGCATAAGTTCAGAATTAATAAGCAAGTACATAATCATTGATGACAAGAAGTGTGAAAAGCTTTATTCAGATATAAGAAATAACCTACTTTCCTTCTACTATTTCTTTTTATTTTCATTAGCCTTCCTTTGTAGCTATTTCCTTGTAAAAGCATTCATTCATCTTATCTATTTTTAGGCAGTGATGAGATAACTTGATATGTAAAATATTATTCTTGTTGATCTGCTCTTAGTGATCTTTGAAATTGACTTTTCCTCTTCATGCTTTATTATTTTATTGAAATGATTAATGAAAATTTTATTTTTTGTAGGTTTCTTTGGTTACTTTAGTTGCAAACACTCTTGGCTACTCAGACCTTGGCCCCATTAAATCCCTTCGGACACTTAGAGCTTTAAGACCTCTAAGAGCTTTATCTAGATTTGAAGGAATGAGGGTAAGAAAATGCTAAACTTTCTAATATCCTTATTTTCTAAATGGAGTATAAAATATAAAAAAAATAAGTATGTAGAAATTATGGGCTGTTTATATTAATATGTACATATATCTACATATATACATATAGATGGACTGTTTATATGTGTGTGTGTGCATATGCATATACATAGTATTCAGTGCATATTGTTTAACAAAGAGTAAATCAAATACAGTAATGACTCCTTCACATAATTTTGTTAGGCAGTAATCCAAATAAGTGACTTCTTTTTTAAATGAAAATCTCTATGCTAGGAAACACTATTCATTCTGATAACATCTCCCATATACAAGTTATCAAGGACTTGCCTATACCCAATGCTCAGATTTTATAGGGTGCCCGGGTGGCTCAGTTGGTTGAGTGTCTGCCTTCAGCTCGGGTCATGGTCCCAGGGTCCTGGGATCGAGCCCTGCATCGGGCTCCCTGCTCAGTGGGGAGCCTGCTTCTCCCTTTGCCTGCTGCTCCCCCTGCTTGTGCTCTCTCTCTCTGTCAAATAAATAAATAAATAAATAAATCTTTAAAAAAAAATTTTTTAAAGAGCTAACCTGGGTAGGAATCATAAGAAAAAAACAGGGAAGTGAAGCGGCATCAGCCACACCTTAAATTTCATCCTTAAAATAAATGTTTCAATGAAAGTAGAATTATCTCCAAATTACATTTGACACAACTAAAGCTCTGAGAATTTACATAATTTGCACTAGGCTGCATGGTGCCTGAAAAGAGATCATTTTGTAGAGACAAACAAGGTGAGATAAATAATGACTAGGAGCAACTTAGCTTTAAGGGCTGTATTAAGCCAGCAACTTCATAAAATACATGGAGGACAATGACCTTACTCTCTCCAATTAGTCCATATCCTCATTTATTGCTGCTTTCCTCAAATTTCCTTTTCATCAGCTTTATACTTGCTTTCTCATGCTTCTGTTGTTCTCTTGGCTGGGAATGCTTCTCCCTGCCCTGTCCCAACCCTGACTCATCAGTATAGCAGACAGATACCTACCCAGCCAGTAAGCCTCAATTTAAATTTGCTTTGTGTCTTCACCATGGGGCATAAGTGGGCATCCTCCCTCTATGTTCAGACATACAAAATCCTTATTATACTGTTTTTTACTTATTTATATGACTGCCTCTCTACCTGTAGTCCCTGAATAACTCAACATGTAGATTAGTCTATCTCACTGCTTCTCTAAGTGCGATCCACAGACCAGCCATCAGCGTCATCTGAGAACTTATTAGAAATGCAAATGCCCAGGTCCCGCTCCAGACATACTGGATCATAAACTCTGGGATGGGGCTTGGAAATCTGAAACCTCGGGTGAATATCAGAGATCTTTTAGTCTAGCAGATCTTCAGTGTTACCTCTGCTAAACTATGACTGTTTAATGCATCCAGTGTACCCATGTATATGAGAGATCATGATTACACACACAAAAAATCATAAGTATAAGTCAACCCTTTCTATCATATAAGAATTGGAAAATTTAAATTTACGTTATTAGACAGAAAGGTGGGATTGGAATCCATTGGCATTAACTTCATTTTTGGAGCACTGGTAGAATGTTACAATCTATCCAGAACTTATGACTGATTTCTGGACTCAGACAGTATCAGTATACTGCATTTTCATGAATGAAGAATATACTTTCCCTTACAAAACTACTTCCCTCAGCAATGAAGCCAGCGCATTATTTTATCCTCTCTTCTCTTTGTTCTTTATCTGTAGTAGAGCTGATGCAGGAGAATGGTTTAATATATTTGGAGGACCAGATATGTCTCTTTAGCATTTATTAATCACGCAAAAAGGGTATGTTCCTTCACACTGCAGGATGATTCTGAAGAATAAATGAAACAATGATTTGAGGCATTTTTGTTGTTAGCTTCCTTTGAGTCTTGAGGCTCTTAAGCTTATTGACTTTCCCAAATGGCTTCTTATCAGACCGATATGTACCTATCTCCCTCAGAGATGCACCGTTGTTCACATTCTTTCAGCAAACATTTTAAACACCAATGATGTGTCAGTTATTATTCTATAAAAAGAGTACCATGGTGAAGAGACCCAGTCCCCCAAAACTGAATGGGGACACAAATCATGGAGAGACAGACAGGGGAACAGTAGTTATTCTAGGACATCAGCTATAAAGTAGTAAGCATGCAGCACTACAGAAACATGGGGGAGGTTGGAGTGGCTGCCACAGGAAGTCTAGGAAGGCCTCACAAGGAGTTGACATTGAAGCCATGACTGACAGAGTGGGTCCAAATCCCAGGCATGTAGGCATTCCAGGCAGAGACACTACCTGGGGGAGAAGCACAGGATTGAGTGTGCAAGGCATGTTTGAGCAACGACTAGATCAATGTGCCTAACTGATAAGCACAATGGGGAGGCCAGCAGGAAGTGAGGATGAAAGCATAGACTTGAACAGGAGTTGGCCACTTTGAACTTTATTCTCTACTCCTGTTCTTCCTAATCCTTTTAGTGTCATGTACACTATTGGAATCTCATAAAAATACGAATCATCTCTTCATTAAAAAAGTACACCTGTAATGTTTTTCATATAATTTCATGCTCGCATAGAATCTCAACAGGCCCATAGACCCTAGGGTAATAACTATTGCTCTAGACCAGAGGTCAACAAACTAAAGCCCACAGGCTGCTTGCCTGTTTTGTAAAGGAAATTTTACTGCTTCTCAGCCATAACCATTTGTTTATAATTTATTGCCACAGTGGCAGAATTGAATAGTTGCAACAGAGACCATATATCCCTCAAAGCCTACAAATATTTAAGAAAGTGTTTGCCAACTCCTGCTGTAGACAATCTGAAAAGTAGTCAGAGATGCTTAATGTTTCACCATTTGGAAAAAAGAGGGAACACAGTGCTATTACTTAACAAATTAGTCTTTAACACATTTGGACTCAAATTCAGACTAGAGCTGAAGTTTAAAAAGACAGGTAGGTTTTGAAAGGTGGGGTAATTAGGAAAATCTGGAGAGTGATAAATACTGATAGTCTGCATGCAGGAAAATTGGAGTGGCAAGAGGCACTGGTCATTAATAGCAGTGGAAAGGCCAAAAAGCAGAAATAAAGGAAGTATTAAAGATAACTACCTCATTTTTATTTTAACTGAGGCAAGCATTGTCTATATTTAGCCAAGGACTTATATATAAAGTATATTTCGACTTAGAATAATAAATTTGAAAAGGTGGCTCTCATTTATCAGATGAAGAAACAGAGGTCCCAAGGTCTTAATTGAATTCACGTATCACATTATTAGCAGAACCAACTAAATAGAAAGGGTTCATACAATAAAAGACTCCTAACCTCAACTCCAGCTTATATACATCAATAGTTTCTGTATATGGGAGAATTTTAGCACTGGTCATTCTAGGACTATGAACCTTTAAATGTACATTTTATTTATCATTCATACTTAGAAATTTCTTTTTTTTCCCCTAGAGTATGCAGATTTAGGACTTCACCTTACATATATCAGGTTTTTGGTTTATTATTTTTATTTTTTCATTTATTTAAGCTGTGGTATCATTTTAGTTACTTTGTTTTGCACTGTGGCTAATGGTTTCAATGTGCGTTCATCATGTATTTTAGTAAACTTGTTCACAGGGCTCCTGTCTCATTCTGTCTTGCTTGGCATACTACTGAGCATAGACATTCAATTAATACATGTTGGTTGATGATTTGATGTCTTAAACATGTAATGGTGGCTTTTCTAATTTCTTTAATTCTGTATTGTGTTTCATTAATGTCGACCATTTAACATTTTTACTACTCCTAATCATCCTTTTCTTTCTTTTGAATACTAGGTGGTCGTGAATGCACTCATAGGTGCAATTCCTTCCATCATGAATGTGCTACTGGTGTGTCTTATATTCTGGCTAATATTTAGCATCATGGGAGTAAATTTGTTTGCTGGGAAGTTCTATGAGTGTGTTAACACCACAGATGGGTCACGCTTTCCAACAAATCTAGTTCAAAATCGTTCTGATTGTTCCGCGCTGATGAATGTTAGTCAAAACGTACGATGGAAGAACCTGAAGGTGAACTTTGATAACGTTGGACTTGGTTACCTGTCTCTGCTTCAAGTTGTAAGTGAGCCCTGTCATGAATGCTTGATATTTTTTTTTTTTAAAGAAGGGTCTTTTTTTTTTTTAAAAGATTTTATTTATTTATTCATGAGAGACAGAGGGAGAGAGAGAGAGAGAGAGAAGCAGAGGGAGAAGCAGGCTCCCAAGGAGCAGGGAGCCCGATGCGGGACTCGATCCCAGGACCCTGGGATCACGACCTGAGCCGAAGGCAGATGCTTAACCATCTGAGCCACCCAGGCGCCCCATGAATGCTTGATATTTTGGTAGACACTAGATGAGGGATAGAAGTCATTCTTTAAATAATCTATTACCTAGAAATTAAAGATAAGGTACTTTGTGACTTTAAAAAGGAGACTTGGTCTTTCTTAGAACATGTGCCTATAAAACATGAGTTAAGAAGCAAAGGTTCTGTTGCATTTGAGAATCATTAATTCGTAATAGACTTTCGGTGTCATGTGGCTCCTCACCATTTACACCATCTGAATGTTGCTCCAAAAATAGTTTTTGGACTGCCAGTTTCACACTGTATGGGAATGAGAAGAACTTCCCACTATCATAGAGGATACTTAAAAAATGGAGAAAAAAAATGTTCCCTGCCTTGTTCATAAAATTCTCCTCTACCTCTGGAAAAATAAAAGTTCATGTGCAAACTTTGCTGGATTTGTAACAACCTGTAAATAATTAACAGGACTAAGATTTAGATATGACTTGGGACCATGTCCTTTTTGTTCTTGACATAGCATCTTTATATTAAATTGGAATTTCGAAATACAGTAAAACACAGTGATTAGATGTCACTAAATGTAACAATAAATGGACTAAACTCATGTATGGCTATTTTAGAGTCTGAGCCTCACATTCAGATTTTATTATTGTTATAGGCAACATTTAAGGGATGGATGGATATTATGTATGCAGCTGTTGATTCTGTTAATGTAAGTATTGATCATTATTACACTAAACTTACAATTTTTAAAGCTCCTTAGTTTAGTTTGGCCATTTTCAAATAGTAGCTTCAAGGAGCCCTTGGTATGTACACACAGAATGAAGCACTTCCACCTAATAATAGACTAGCAATTCTGTGTGCAGCATTTGGTGACTGAGCTTGCTCAAATTCTGGCTCTCTCATAAGAGCTCTGCAACTGACTTTGAACAAATTACTTTGCCTCTCTCAGCCTGTTTATTGACGGAAAAAAACAAAAAAATTCAATGTCCACTTCATGGCATTGTTCTGAGGATCCAAAAAGAAAATGTAAGTAGAGCACTTTGTACAGCCTAGCAATAACAAGTGCTCAATGAATATGTTTATCAAAATAAAAAATTCAATAACAAATGCTATTCATGGGTTTAAAAAATTTTATTCATAGTTTTTATTGTTTTTATACTTAAAATGCTGTGGAAGAGTTTATGTGAAATGAGTTCCATGCTAAGAAAGTTAAATCCAGTGAAGACATTTCTGTCATCAAATGAAGAAAAAAAAATCAGAATTTCTATAAATATGGTTATCTCCTCTTTTACAGTTTTTTTCTGGAAATAGAAAACATACATTAGGTCACTTAGTTACTAAATTGTCCTACCAATCTGAGAACAAGTACTATGTATGGTTAAGTCTTTTGTAGTCATTTGAAGATTATATTCATGTACATAGTAAGCATGTAATAAATATTTACTTAATGTTGAATAAATTTTTAAGAATGTTTATGCCGATCCTTAAAATGTTATGGCTTCTGAAAAGCCAAGTTCACCTAGGATAGAACGATTTGGATTAACTTGTCAAACCATGTGAAAAAGAAAATGATTAATGTTATTGTCAACATACAGCTAACTTTTGTTAATTTTATAGGTAGACAAGCAGCCCATATATGAATACAGCCTCTACATGTATATTTATTTTGTCATCTTTATCATCTTTGGGTCATTCTTCACTTTGAACTTATTCATTGGTGTCATCATAGATAATTTCAACCAACAGAAAAAGAAGATAAGTATTTTAAGGTTTTTATACTGCACTGAAAAATATGAACAATTATTTTTCTAAAAACATAATGTGGAAATTTAATTTGATATCAGTTAGTAATTAGCTTCATTAGAACTTCATTGATTTTTCAAATAATTGACCAGGATACAGTACAGATATGCTTAATATCACTCATCTCTGCATAGAAAATAATTATCCCCTAAGTCATGACTATTTTTAAGCAATATGACAAGTATTCAGTGTTTTTCAATGTTCCCTATAAAAGACTAATAATTTATAATTAAAATTAGTGCACTAATTATTTATTTATTCAAGACACATTTCATTCATTCTCTGAGCCACTGTTCTGTGGGATATGTATTGGGCTGGCCCTTGATGGACAACAACACAGCATATGGTTCTTGAGCTCAGGGAGTTTATATTACAGCAGAAGAAATGATACCTGTAATGGAAATTAAGATTTGTTAAATGTTGCAAATGAGATACTCTCCTGAGATTTCTGTTTCATTACCCTTCACGTCAACTGCATTAATTTCTCAGGGCTCCTAGAACCAACTACCACAAACTGGTGGCTTACAACAACAGAAATTTATTCTTTCTCAGTTATGGAGGCTACAAGTCTAAAATCAAAGTGTTGGCAGGGGAGGATCCTTCCTTGCATCTTGCAGTGTTTTGTAGCTCACGGAGCTTGTGGCTTACGGAGCATACCTTCAGTCTCTGCCTCCGTGGTCACATGGCATGCTCCCTCTCTGTATCTCTTTCCTTTTCTTATAAGGGCACAGGTCATATTGGATGAAGGGCCCATCCTACTCTGGTATGACCTCACCTTACTTTAATTACATCTACAATGACAGTATTTCCAAATAAGGTAACTCTGAGGTACCAGGAGTTAGGACTTTAAAATATATTTTTGGGGGGACACAATTCAACCTAAAACATCCACCATAAAATATATTATTATTATAGACTTTGTCTTAAAACTGTGGGCAGCCACAGAGAGGTTAAGTGATTTACCCAGATCATGCATCTAGTAAGTAAGTGATAGTTTTGATAGAGTCAGCAGTTAATCCCATATATTTTTTAGGTCCTCTACTATTCTATATCCCCCAATACTACAATGTGAAATAGTGATAAGTGTAATAAGAAAAGTTAACAAAGCAATGATAACAAAAAAATAAGTGGGCAGTCAGAGGAAGAAATAGATACAAATAGAAAAAAACAGCTATGGAAAGTTGTATGATTTATGTGACAATTGGTAGGCTTTGGAGGACAAGTAAGACCTGTCACAGCTGAGAGGCAAAAAGATGAATAATCCACAGGGAAGGGTGGAGAAATGTGTGAGCACATGCACAGGGCTGACAAACGAGACAATAATCCAGGAGGAATAGCCTTCATCCAGTTTGAGTGGAGTTTTGAGATGGAGTTTTTCTTTTTAAGTTTTTATTTAAATTCCAATTAGTTTACAGTGTAATATCAGCATGATGGGTACAATATAGTGATTCAACACTTCCATCCAATACCCATGGCTCATCACAAGTACCCTCCTTAATCCCCATGCCCTATTTAACCAGTCTCCCCACCCACCTCCCCTCTGGTAACAATGGAGTTTTAAGAAGAGAAATAGTAAAAATGAATGAGGTCTTGCTTGAGAGCAGATCTTCCTTTTTCAGTAGGAGCTGATGTGTCATTGAAGTATTTTGAGCAAGGGAGTACATATAATCAGGACATTGGCACTTATTAAGATTTGATGATGTGTCTAATTATGTGTAAAGTACTCCGCATGTGTACTCTTAGGTTTTACAACAAATCTAAAAGATGTTGTGTCCTCACTTCCCCCTCAGAGAGGTTGTGTTACTTGCATGTCATCCGACAGCTAGAAAGTAGCTTCATTGCAGATCCAACTGGAGTCTTGTCTTCCAGAGACCATGAAAACTCAGTTCTGATTTTAAAAATGGTGTTATACGCAACTAATGAATCATAGAACATTACATCAAAAACTAATGATGTTCTATATGCTGGCTAACTGAACATAATAATAAAAAAATTATTAAAAAATAAAAAGAGAAAATGAATCCTGTAATGATGTATAGAATGATTGGAGAGAGACCAAAGACTAGGTCAGACTCTGCATTACCTGCCACCTCGACCACACTTAAGTCTTCAAATTAGTCATCTGCAGCAATGGAGAATATGCGATATGTTCAATGAAGAGATTGTAAGAGGTAGAGTCTACAGTATGGTCTGTGATTTGTAAGAGATAAAGCATCTAAGAAGTCTCATTTTCCTGTCAAAGTTGACTGACGTACTGTGGCTGCAGCATCATCCACAGGAAAAGATATTTTTCAAAGATAAGGGGTAGACTTCAAAGAGTGATTTTAGATATTGACTTAGCATCTCAGAAAAGACGGATGTATGTGCAATGAAATATCATTATTGTACATGATTGATATTCACAACTGGAAGAAAATTTAGTAAATGTTGAATGTTATTTATGCTTACATTTTCCAATACAGGGTTTTTTCTTTCAAAGATATTTTAAAATTCCATCTTCTATTCTTACATTTAATATCTGAGAGTTACTCTTCGCTAACATTATCATACATTCATGCCTTTAGACAGAGAATCTTTAAAAATTGAGAATCTTGAAAATAATTTTACAAAGTATACTCTAATTTTCAATTTAATTATTTTTCCAATTTTAGTCATTATAGATTTGTATGTATGATATATAAGCATATACATATGATTCCCCAGTATTCCCTGAATAGGATAAATTAGACAAGTATCTAGATAAAGCCATGTGACCATGAACAGGACAGCCACAGCCCTAATCGCTTTAACCTCCTTGCTTTTAAGTATTATTCTTGCAACAAGAATTGCCACTGGAGGATGGGCTGACACCATTACCATTACTCTCAGGCAAAAGTTACTAATTTAGAAGCGCTGACAACTACCACTATCCCCTACCTTCCTTCCAGTATTTCATTTGCAATTTAAGCGTACCTTTTATTTTCTGACCTTTTCTGAATGGCTTCAGGTTTCTTTCTACCCTGCTAAGAGACAGGACTAACACTTCAATTAACCTACCGCTTTGGAGCCTTTCTGCTAGATACTTTGTGTCTATGAATTCATCTAATCCATAGCCCAGACTAATGAAAGTGGCATCTTTACACAAAAGTGTATACACTGGCCTAGTCAGGATAAGTAGCTTGTTTCAAATCAAGTAACAGGTCCACTGGCAGTCAGGACCCAAAGGTCTTTTTGACTTCAAAGCCCATATTCTTTTCATAGTGTATTCCTGCCTCTTAAGGCTTTTTAACTTAGGCACTTTGGTCTCAGCTCATGGCTCTACCAACTAACCATACCTCTTCTAATAACCAACCCCACTTTACTAGTTTTTCCGAGTACCCATCACTTTTACAAGTAATGTTTTCATTTAATAAGTTCATGAGATTTAGGGTTTAATTCATCAGAAAACATACTTTGGAAAATTAGAACATAAATTATCAATAGGCTCAAGTTATAAAAGGAAAAATATGTAGTCTATTTACAGAAAGACCTAGTATAAACCTGGGTACATATGGGTAAATTCTAAGTAAAGCAACCCCCTTCGGTAACTATAACCTTATTAGGAAGGTTAATAACAATGACAGTAACAGCAACTAACAATTATTGAGGGCTTGTGTATCTGGCATTCTGTTGAGTGTTTTGAATGCATTATCTCAGTTGATCCTCCCAACAAACCGTGGAGGTGTAGTTACTCTTGTAATGGTAACATGACTTAAACTGTCTTCTTAAAGACACTAAGAAACTTGTCCAAGGACAACAGAGGATTTGAACAAAGATGATCTGACACTAGAACTAAATTCTTAAGTACTATGTAACACAGCTTTGACATAGTGTGTAATATTGAAAAAGACCAGCCTGATCTATAGAGTATCTTTCATCTAGCTTTTAAAGGGATGCATCTGCATTTTGTATAAGGTCTCTAAAGCTACAGTAAAACCAAGTTAAACAACACAAGCTCCTCTATTGGAGCATCTTGTAATCTCCTCCTAGTTTCAGCCCACCTTTTATTATTTTGGCAACCAGGGTATCATTAAGAGAAGTTAAAATTTGCTACTTTGATTTTTACCTCGAATTCATAGTTCTCTTCCCAGTGTTTTCCTAGCTTCTTCTGGGAAGTTCCTGACGTGTTATGGTAGTCAGCCCTTCCCAATGAGTAACGTTGGCCCAAAGGCTCTCCCTGATGCCTAGCATCAGTATGTAAGATAAACACCAAAGACTGTATATCAACTAGAATAAAGGTAAATTAAAACATATTAAAAAAGAAAGGGGAGTCTGGTTACCATTAGGTATTTGATAAATTTTTTAAAAATGCATTATAATAGGAAACTGAATGTTGCCTAATCCAAGAAAACTAAAGGGAAACCATAACCAGCTCGTCTTTAACTCGAGGACCCTACAAGTTAAGTAAGGATTTGAGAACTGTAAATTCCCCAAAATAAATTCCTAATTAAATGATCATACTACTTTATCCCATAACTAAAAAGTTGATACTATAGATCAATGTAGAAAATACACGAATATGTAAAAATTACAGATAATTTTAAGAAAATTAGCATATCCTAAAAGAACACATAGGCATTCTTTGTGAGATTTGGACTCTTAGAGTGTTGAAAAGATCAAAAAACGTCATTTAGATGTTAGTTATTTTTACTGGGGTTTCAACAATTAAGAAGTCCTTCAGGTCAAGGATCCTCGATCCTTGGTAATTTCCTCAATACTTAGAATGCTATTATGTACAATGTTGACACTCATAATGTTTATTGAAATTCCTTTATTGGAATGAAAAAAGTAGCTCACCAGTTTCTTGAAACACACACACAGATATATGTGTTACATGTTCATTGTACAGTAGTCTCCCCCACCCCTTATCTGCAGGGGATGTTCCAACACCCCTAATGGATGCCTTAAACCACAGATAGTACCCAACCTTAAAAAACAAACAAACAAAAAACATGTTTTTGCTTCTACATACATACCTATGGTAAAGTTTAATTTATAAATTAGGCACAGTAAGAGATTAACAACAATAACTAATAATAAAATAGAAAATATACTGTAATACAAGTTATGTGAATATGGCCTCCCTCAAGATATCTTATTGTGCTGTACTCATCCTTCTTATAATGATATGAGGTAAAATGCCTACATGATGAGATGAAGTGAGGTGAATAACGTAGGCATTGTGATGTAGCTTGGGCTACTATTGACCTTCTGACAGTATGCCAGCAGGAGAATCACCTGCTTCCAGACCACAGTTGACCATGGGTAACAGAAACTACGGAAAGGGGTACCATGGATAAGAGGGCACTACTGTTTATTCTTTTTCTGTGCTAAAGGAATATGGCATTTGTAAATGAATACAAATAAATATAAAACTATTTTTGTTATTGTTTTGGCCCCTACTTTTCATTAGAGTCCCAAATATTAGACAAATCATCAAAAAAGATATTCAGTATTCTTATTTCTTATAACCTTTCCTAATATATTAGTTATCTAGCAATAAAATGCCTGATGAGACAAGTAGCAGATAAAATCAAATATCAGCACATAGTTTAAAATAACACAGGTTACCTCACCAAAAGAAAATTGAGCCAATAATTATTATATGCAATATATATATTTTATATATGCACATTACATTATTTATGGAGAGTCATGGGCCTATATCTAAGTAGTTATTTAAGACGTATTTTATTTATAGCTATGTGCCACATAATAAAATGCATTTTATTTCTATATAAAACATTTTTAACCTGTCTTAATGATCTGAGAAAAGATCTAGATAATGATTCTGGTTTTAACTAGGTTTATTTTTTATTTCTTTACCTTGGAGGTCAAGACATCTTTATGACAGAAGAACAGAAGAAATATTATAATGCAATGAAAAAGCTGGGATCTAAGAAACCACAAAAGCCAATACCTCGGCCAGGGGTAAAAAAACAAAACCAAACCAGTTCATCCTTAGACAAAACAGGGGTTAGGGGCACCAACCCTCCACACAGTTAAAAATCTGTGTATCAACTTTTGATTTCCCCAATTCTTAAACTACTAAGAGCCTACTGTTGACCAGAAATCTTACCGATAAACTGAACAGTTGATGAACACATAGTTTATATATACACGTATTATATACACATGTATGTACATACATACATTCTTACATAAGGTAAGCTAGAGAAAAGAAAATGTTATTAAGAGAATCATAAAAAAGAGGAAATACATTTACAGTACTATATTTATCTAAAAAAAGTTCATGTATTAGTGGACCCATGCAGTCCAAACCTGTGTTGTTCAAGGTATACATGTATATGTACACATATATATCTCTAGCATATAAATTTTCAAATTATTTTTAATTCATCTTTAATGTACAACTAGTTCTTAAACATAAATGCTAATATTTGAACAAAAGTCCTTATAAAACTAAATATATGTATTTTGAACATTACCGCAGTTCTTAGTATTCTTATTTTTAATTTTTCTATAAAAATGAAAAGTAATTATATATGGTTTTACTTTTATATTAGCTATACAGCTTACTACGAGTACAATGGTCTGTAGAGGATACAAAAAAAATTTACTTTTGACTGAAATGTATTTATCCAAATGACGATTTTATGATGTAGTGATTGCTATCTATCATTAGGGTAAAACTAACTTGCAGATTTTTGATATTGTGACAAATAGCAAGAGAAGCAGTTGGACTGATCATGAATCTAAACTTTCTTTCTACTGTGAGGTCAAAGACCAGAGCGGGCTCAGATGGAAATAGTGAGTCTTAGCCGTCAAAGGATAGTTTGTATTCCTCTAACAACTGGCGGGGGGCGGGGGAGTGGGCGGACACAAAAGTTTAAATGCATTATATGCATTTCAATTTATATTCAACATAACATACCTTGCCAAAGAGTCATAGCTGAAGACAAAGCCAGTTAGTACCCAGCTGCCTACATGAGGATCACCAGGCACTTTTTAAATGGACTCATTGCCAAGTCTCAACCAGACCTACTGAATCACAGCCCTGGTATTTAATTTTTTGCTTGCCGCACTTCATCTTGGTAAAATGCCTTAAAACTTTCTAATGCAACTATAAAAAGGATTTTGAAAAATTTCATGTTTCCCGGAAAGCATAATACTAGCAGTGAGATTAAAAGGAAAGGTGATGTATAAGTATGGGTATGTATGGAAATATGTCCTATACATGAAAGAGATAGGAAATTATATGTCTCATACCATAACAGTCATATCAGTGCAAGACCATGTAACACATTAGCTAAAATAATATGACAAAGTAGAAATTTAGAGACATGTTATTTTATTAACTTGAAATACTCCAGGTAGTGGAGCTGAGGTTTTTTTAGTAAAAAATTACCTGTGACCACGGCAATTCATATATAACATACTAGGGTGGATGAGTTTAAAAGCAAATGTTAGTATACACGACCAACGGAAACCTGGCTGGTCTGGTATATACCAGAAGTCAACAACAACAACAAAAAGTTTTCATTTGCTCTGAGTTAGATTTAACTCATTAATAATATTTCTTCTAAAAATCAAGAACCTATGACCAAGGATAATTTATGCAACTTTTAAAGACAAACCTTTTTAAAATATTTTCTATTAATGTAATGATGAATGGATACTTGCAAACTCTACTCTACATTCCATATTATTCTTGTTTCGTTACAGAACAAATTCCAAGGATGTATATTTGACCTCGTAACAAACCAAGTTTTTGATATCACCATCATGGTTCTTATCTGCCTCAACATGGTAACCATGATGGTAGAAAAAGAGGGACAAAGTGAATACATGACTGATGTTTTATACTGGATAAATGTGGTTTTTATTATCCTTTTCACTGGAGAATGTGTGCTGAAACTGATCTCCCTCAGACACTACTACTTTACTGTAGGATGGAACATTTTTGACTTTGTGGTTGTGATTCTCTCCATTGTAGGTAAGACCATTTTGAATCAAACTAAACTTCACTTATGCTCAGAGAAGCTTCTGAATTCTTGAATGTAAATTTACTTTTGAGTACATAAGTAAAAGGAAAGAATGAAGGAGCCTTAAAGACAAAACTAAAAAAAACAAAGACCTCTGTGTCAGAATTCCTGGGTTCATGCTCCAGGTCTCGAAGCCACAACTTTTCTATTTGTTAGAAGCATATAATACTCCTTGATATTTGATTTCCAAGATTACCCTTCAAAGAAGTAGCAACGGTGTCTATATGTAGGTAAGTAGTAGAAACACCTATATGGGAGGTAGAAAGACCAATGGAGAATCTGAAATCACCTCTAGTTTTAGCACATCATGAGAACTGTCCCTTGATTAATGATCATTAAGAGCCAGAATATCCCTGACTCTTTGTAAATGTTCTTTCTGAATTTGAAGTGAAGGTAAGGTCTCAAGAAATGCCATTTTCATTTCTTACAGCCTCATACTTGGCAAGTCTAGAAAATAGAATCATTTCTCAACCAACCGCAGTCATGGCCATGAGTCACAGTACATGACTTTATACTTCTTCCCCTTTCATTAGCATAGCTGTTTCTCTGTCCTCTTGTTTTCTCACTATCTGCACATGCCTTCCCCATATTTTAGGGTTGCATTTATTTTTAGAAATACAAATTTTAGACAGAAGGAGATTATTTTAATACACATTCAACTTACAGATGATGAAACAGGCAGGCCCAGGAAGGTTAAAGGTCACATAACCTAACACCTCAATATAGAATACCATGTCCCTTAGAAGAGGCATTCAAAATCAATTTTTGAAAAAAGAGTATTAAGTAAGTATTAAGATATCAGAAAACAAATTAAAATTTAGGTAGGAATCTCAGAGTAATAACAAGCAAAATAGCGGAAGCATTCCCATCAAGTTAGGAAGGAAAAAAAGAGTGTTCCTCTATCACCTCTATTTTTAACAGTGTTGACCGATGCAATTAGATAAGAAAACAGAGGGATACATGGAGCAAATGATCTTCATTGTCAGATCATATTATGACATTCTTTAAAAATGAAAGAGAATCAACCAAAAAAATGGATTCAATTAGAGTTCAGAAGGTACAAACTTTAAATCACGTGTATCGATATTAATAAGTGTTTTATATGTGGACAAAAAATTTAGAAAGTATACCTAAAGAAAAATCTCATTTGCATTTGCAATAAAAATAAAGTAAAATATCCAGTAACAACTTTAATAAGAAATGCATAAGACTTCTATGAGGAAAGCTAACAGACATAAAAGAAGTCTTAAATAATTGAAAGGCTTTTCTTATACTTGGATAAAAAGGCTATCACTGTAATCATGACCCTTTTTGAAATAAATTAATTTGTAAACACAGTGTTATCCCAGTAAGAATATCAATAAGTCTTTTTGCCTGGTGGAAATAATATATTGGCAATATAAGTCTAAATGATTCTAAAATTTATCTGGAAGAAAAATTAAAGTAATGAGGAGTGACTTATATTGCTAGCTACTTAGACTATTATAACACTGATGAAGTAAAACAGTGTTCTCAATGGATTCATATAGATAATTCAAAATTTAACTTCACTATATAGAGAATTACTAATTTCCTCAGTAGAAAGATTACATGAATCAAAAATTAAAGTGTTAAAAATGGATTCAAGAAGAAATAGATTTATAACAATGAACCTGAATAGTCCTTCCTATTTATGACACAAATTTGAGTCTATGAAGAAAAAAATAACAGATTAGATAAAAATCAAAATATTCTATGGAGAAAACCTCACCACCACCTCTCCCCAATCAAAATGATTGAAAGACAAAACACAGGGAAAAATTGTGTGTAGCATGTAAGACCAACAAAGGATTAGCACTTTCAGTAGAAAAATAGTCTTCCTAAATCAATAAGAAAATAGTAAATATCTCATTAGAAAAATGGGCAAAGGACTTGACACGGCCAAAAAGAGAAAGTTGAAAATAGACAACAAGCACACAAAACGTCCAATAAACAAGAAAAAAACGTGGATTTTTTTTTCCAACAAAAAATTTATAATGAGGTGTTTTTGAAACATCATAAAGATTTTCTGGTAAAAATTTAAAGAACCACAATACTGGTTGAGCATGTGGAGGATGAGCACTTCCATACATCACTATGAAGAGGTATACAGACTTTCTGGAGATAGGTTTGGTGATATATAAGAAAATCTTAAATACACTGATCATTTATTAACATATTATCAAATAATTCTCATGTAACTAGAAAAAATATACCTACTTGAATATTTACCTCAGCCAAAAATATTGAAAACAACATAAAATTCTTCAATATGTGGTTATTTGGACAGAACATTATGAAACTATGAGAAATTACTTTGTTGCCATTTGAATGGAAGTATTTCCATGACATGATAAAGTGACTCAGATTATAAAAAATGCCTATGTAACATAATTACATTCATGTGACAATGTGTGTGTATGATTGCACAGAAAAATGTCTAAAGTGATACTCAACAAAATAGTAACAGTTATTATAATTGATGGTATTTCAGGTGATTTAGATTTCCTTTTAAGCACTTTACTGTATTGCTTGAATTTTCTACATGAGTAACTATCACCCATATAATCAAAAATTATTATGGATAAAAAAAATGTCCACAAACTTAATAAAGGGAGAGAAAATGTCACAATGGCAGTATCAATCATTTTCCTTTGGGATTGCTCAATCTTTCAATTGTTGGGAAATTGCTTTCAATATAAAATGACAGTCCTGAAATGGTAAGAGAGAAGATGGCAGATAAAATTACTTAAAAGTCATGATTTTCTGTAGCATGGATATTTAACTATTTCCAACCCCTCCCCCACCCCAGGTATGTTTCTGGCCGAGCTGATAGAAAAATACTTTGTGTCCCCTACCCTGTTCCGAGTGATCCGGCTTGCCAGGATTGGTCGAATCTTGCGTCTGATCAAAGGGGCCAAGGGGATCCGCACGCTGCTCTTTGCTCTGATGATGTCCCTTCCTGCCTTGTTTAACATTGGCCTCCTGCTCTTCCTGGTCATGTTCATCTATGCCATCTTTGGAATGTCCAACTTTGCCTATGTTAAAAAGGAAGCTGGAATTAATGACATGTTCAACTTTGAGACCTTTGGTAACAGCATGATCTGCCTGTTCCAAATTACCACCTCTGCTGGCTGGGATGGATTGCTAGCACCTATTCTCAACAGTGCACCGCCTGACTGTGATCCAAAAAAAGTTCATCCTGGAAGTTCAGTTGAAGGAGACTGCGGGAACCCATCTGTTGGGATATTCTATTTTGTCAGTTACATCATCATATCATTTCTGGTTGTGGTGAACATGTACATCGCTGTCATCCTGGAGAACTTCAGTGTTGCTACTGAAGAAAGTACCGAGCCCCTAAGTGAGGATGACTTTGAGATGTTCTACGAGGTTTGGGAAAAGTTTGATCCTGATGCCACCCAGTTTATAGAGTTCGCCAAGCTCTCTGATTTTGCAGCTGCCCTGGATCCTCCTCTTCTCATAGCCAAACCAAACAAAGTCCAGCTCATCGCCATGGACCTGCCCATGGTCAGTGGGGACCGGATCCATTGTCTTGACATCTTATTTGCTTTTACAAAGCGTGTTTTGGGTGAAAGTGGAGAGATGGACTCTCTACGTTCACAGATGGAGGAAAGGTTCATGTCAGCAAATCCTTCTAAAGTGTCCTATGAACCCATAACAACTACACTAAAACGAAAACAAGAGGATGTGTCTGCTACTGTCATTCAACGTGCTTACAGACGTTACCGCTTACGACAAAATGTCAAAAATATATCGAGCATATATATAAAAGATGGAGATGGAGATGATGGTGTCCCCAATAAAGAAGATATGGTGTTTGATAACATTAATGAGAACTCGAGTCCAGAAAAAACAGATGCAACCCCCTCCACTGTCTCTCCACCTTCATATGACAGTGTAACAAAGCCAGACAAAGAGAAATACGAAACAGACAAAACAGAAAAGGAAGACAAAGGGAAAGATAGCAAGGAAAGCAAAAAATAGAGCTTTGTTTTTGATATATTGTTTACAGCCCCTGAAGGTGATATATTTGTGTTAATAAGACTCTTTTAAGGAAGTCTATGCCAAAACTTTTTATCAAAATATTCTCAAAGTCAGTGCAATGACTAGCTCTGATTCCCTAAAATAGGTGGGCAGCATTAGCAGACGGCTACATTTGCATTGGTAAATGATTCTGTACGAATTGTGAGAGTACTCTATAGGGAGTCTTGATTACAGCAAATAAGGCTGGTTTAATTTTATTTGCTTTTAATAAATCAGAAGACCATGTGGAAAGTGTTCACATCTGCCTTGTCATCTTTTCACGGGATTCTGAACATTCCTGTTTCCCGTGCAAATACAAACACACGCATCTATCATTTGGATATCTATAAAAGTAGTTTACCTTGGCTTTGCATTGAAATGTCTTGATAGAAGGAATGGCCATTAGTAACAAATGTTTAGTTAACACATCTGTTATTAGGGAGCAAGACTCTTCTCCATGTACAGAGAACGTTCTATATTTTGAGGTGCTTACCTTTATTTTGTACTGCATCAGAACCAACTTTTATGTGCCTAGACAATGCCATGTAATTAAAAACATATATAGGCTACTCATTTCAACAAATATTTTTCATTCATCTGGACTCATAGACCAGGATAAGACTTACCTTTAGAGTATCGTGCTTCATAGCCTGCCTTTTAGAATATCCTTCTTTGTTCATATGATAACCATACAACATGAAAAATTATTTTAAGTACATATCACATTCCTCAAAAGAAGAAAAAAACTGAAGATGCTTAAGAAAAGAAGGAATGGAAGAAAGCTTTATTCACTTTTATTTATACAGTCTAACACTTGGCTGTGCTGCCCTAAAACACCAGTGATAACCCTACTCTTCATCTGTTTGGTCACAAATTTCTGCTTTCTCAGGCAGTATTGTCTAGTCATTCTTTAGCACAAAGCAAAGTTAATATTTTTCTTCAGTGAAGTGCTTCCTGATGTGCAGATATCTATTTGATACTGTGGTTCATGTATGAGCAGATAATGGCTTGGGCAAAGTCTGGACTGCATCACCTGCATGCCATCTGAAATGTGTATGGCAAACTTTCAAGTCACGATACATGACGGTCTTTCAACACAGACTTGTGTTTAGCATGAGTGAAAGATCATTCAACGGGGATTCTTGCCACTCTGCTTTCTTGCCACTAACTTACTTCCCTAATTTGTGCTATTAATCCTTTTGGACCTTTCTCTTTCATCTATAAAAATGAGGAAAATGTTACTTTGACTTAAAATTCTATGACTATGAGGTATATTTGATATCAATCAATAAAGTACCCTGAGCTTATAGTTTACCAAGTACATATTCATTTTGTTTTAGCTGCTGTCCGCCTACCAAGGATTATAAATCTAGTTTTAAAAAATCCTTGTTGATGATGGCTTGAAAAGAAATGGCCATGATGCATTTTTTTCATGAGTTTATTTCAGGAATATGAGCTCTTTCTTCTATCAAGTTACTTATGCATAGGCAAAAATTGAGTTACATAAGTAGAAAGTAATTTTATTTAGAAGATTTTGTAGGAGTTTTCAAAGCAAGTATATATATCATTCATTTGCTTTTCTAAATTAAAAAAGAACATAAATTATATTTCTATAATAAATACAACATATTTTTTGTTGTTCAGGCTAGTTAAAAATAAAGGAGATTTTTAAAAAACCTACAGAAATGAAGAGTATGGGTAGAGAATGACAGACAGAAAGAGGGACAGACTAAGAAACACAGATATGAGATCAACAGAAAAAAAACAGAGACATTTCCACAGAACTTTGTATCTTGAAAGTTTTTAAATTGTGACACATTTTACAACGTCCATGAGGGAGATTATCACTTCTAGACATTTGTCCTAAGGTACATATGAAATTAAATCTAGGGCCAAAGATTCTTTGCACCTACATTCAATTATTCATCTTAGGTTATTTGAGCCCCCTTTTTTTTAATATGAAAGATACCATGCAGTGTTTTCCTGGACTATGTAGAGCATTGCATTGCATTGCATACCTGCTAAGCCTGTTGAAAATAGGTTTTGACAATTAGGGAACCGTACAAAATATATTACATTTGTAATATTTTTAATACATTAAATTAAGAAATTAATATCACCTTAGATTTAAATTCAGTCTATCCTTATTATTTTAAACCCATATAAATATAACTGCATTTTGCATATTTATATATTATGAAAAGACGTATGGTGGACAGGTTTATGTGTGATTTACTATTAATGTTTTTACATTGCCTTATTTTTATGTAAAATAAAAAAACTGGCAACTGGTTCCTCAACAGTTTCTTCTTAGCATTTCAAAAAAAAATTATGAATTTGCTCTTTTCTCTTATTTCGTGCTGAACCAATTTCATGCTGAACGATACTTTTTTTTTAATATAACATAGTTAGGTTTTGTATATATGTTTTCCCAGGAATGTCTAGTTGTGACTTTTAATCAATTAAAAACAATATATGGAATTGAGAGCTTATTTTGTACTGTGTAAGCTTGAAGTAAAATTAGTCTTTGCTTTTCATGTAGGTTACTGCTCAGAACTGATAATGAGATGCCTCCAGAAGGCACTGTCATGCTAATCTTTAAGTTACGTAATCACTGGATTCATTTCACCTAATGAAGTAGAATGGCAGTTACACTGTAAAATTTAAGTTAGAATAAAATGGAAGCGAACACAAATGGAAGCAAAGATTTGAACACAAATGCATACATGCAATTTGGAGAAAAGTAGGAAAATCTCATTTTGCTTTTTTGACTGTTACATAGTTTGCAAAAGATATAAGTGACTTGTGGGCTCTTTCTAAATGCTGCTTGTTGAAAACCTCAACCCAAAATGTTCAGCATGATTTTACAGATTTTTGATAGCTTTATTAAAAAGATTTAAGATAAAATGCACATGTAAATAAAGCAGTTTTAAATAGCAATTTGGGAGAAATGTTACTGGAAGTAATGAAAGGAGGGCCAGCTAAATTAGAATGGCCAAGTAATCGGCCTGGGTTTAGGACCTATGTATAGAGACTACACATTTTTTTAAGTATCTGTGGTTATTATGTAATATTCTTGAGAAAAATAATCAAGAATTGCTTCATAAAAATAAATGAATAGCCATGCATATAATAATGCTGTTTACATAGAATTCTGTACAATTTTCATACATCTGTGAATGCTCAAAATGTTTGAGTTTGTCATAAATTATTATTGTAGTTATACTTGAGCCTTCCATATAGAATGTAAAAATAAAAATCATTAACAAAATAAAGTCATGTGTGCATGTATTTTCTGTTTCTGTGAGAATAATCTTTAAGGAGGTAAGCTCAGTGCAGGCCTACACTGAAGCGACTAGTAGCTTTTTTCTTTAAATGGAAAGATAGTTTCAAATGTCCTCCATAAGAAGTCTTCCAGGATAAGAAATATGGGGACAAAGAATATAGAGTTCTAAAGCAATTCATTGACATTCACAACAGGGTTGGTGCAGAAGGAAAAAACTGAAACAAGAAGTGAAGATATGCAAACATTTAGCCACACAGTGACAGCATGTATCTTTTTCATATAATAGCATAATTGTGTCATTGAGAGTTTAACACACATCATGGCCAAGGGCTTGGGTTCCAGACCCAAAACTGTTTGGATCCCAGTTAAGCTATGACTCTCTGAGTTTCCTGAATACATTATTTAACCTATGTGTGACTCAGCATTCTCATCTATAAAATGAGGATAATTGTACTACTTCACTATTTATGGTCATAAAATAGAATGAGAAAATCCACATGTAGCAATCAGAGCAATGTCTGACAATACAAAATCAATAATTTACATTAGTAGTAGTAATTAGTGTGGCAACAAATTTTCCACTAAACATAAGAGCCCAGGCTACCCCTGTGCTCATAGGAGCACAATGCATTCTTCATAAATACTAAATGATGACACTATTTCCTCTATTTTACATGACTTTGTGTAAATATGGTACCCAAAAGAGTCTTACACATCTTACTGGCATGTAAAAAACGTTTAGCTATATGATATATACACAAAAATATTTCAAAATTGAGCTATTTTTGAGATTTGTGAATTCAAACAACATGCTAAATGAAGAAACATGCATATTTACAAAGGTTTAGCTTATTGCAAGAAAAATTTGGAGGAGGTCGTTCCCATATTTAGCTAAATAGTCAATCCAAACCTCTATTTTGCTTTAGCTGTGAGCATCCAAGTCCTGCTTTTGATTTTTAAATAAGATACACTAAGAATAATTGCTGCTGTGCTCGGCCATTATTTCAAGCTTGTGTGCTATTATAATGGCATGTAGAAAGATAGAAAATCTTCTTAGGGACCTCTGTACTGGCAGTTGTGATAATCACTGCAAAATAAAATTATAGTCCCTGCACAGCATCATTATGCATCTTAACATAACTGATTGGCAATCACATGAAGTTCCTACAACAAAAGAATTAACTTCTTCCTTGCTATAGATAACACTATACCATAACCCAAGCAAAATAAGCTGCAGAGTACATGGTAATCTCTCTCAAGGGAGGGGAGGATTGCATACTGGCCAGACCTTTGCTGCAATAGCATTTGATGCACACAGGAAGAGTAACATAAATAATTGATAGCTCTAAACAAGCAGTAGAGCAAACATGCTATACTTTACTCCCTATTATTCCGAGTAGTGTAATTAGATAGGTACATTAACAATTGATCTAAGAAAAAAGCCAATTTTAAGAAATTTAGGAGGGATGTTTAATGTTTTATCATGTGTTTTAGCTTGAATCTCATTTAAAATATTTTTCAAAAACAATTGAAATGCAACAAAGGAATAGATAAAACAATGGACAGAAGTATATAGAAAAGATTTAGGTCTTGTTAACAATTTTAAAATCTAGCTGAACTGAGCAAAAATTATTCTTGCTCCAGATGTAATATTTGCTGGTATGTCCTATTTTTGGTTTTATTTCATAGAAGACAAAACATCTTCCATTTAGTTAACTTCTACTAGCAACAGCTTAGAATGTCTTTATGAGCCGATCAGAATAATGAAAAGCAAAGACAAATCATATTACTAAGTGAAAGAAGTCCGTCTGAAAAGGCTACATACTATACAAACAAGCAGGTGGCTCCAGTGGGAATATTTCAGGGCAGTCAGAACACACTGAGGTTTCATAATCATTGGGAATTTTAAATAAGAGTTGATTTTAATGACATTAGACCCCTAGCAAAGTTGAAATGAGCACTACCAAAGAAACCCTTTTTTTTAATGTATTGCGGGGAAAAGAAGCAGTTCAAAGACACGGTCTGAGAAAGACCACTGATAAA